TGTCTTTAGGAAAGCAAACACGCACCCATAGTACTTGCTTTTGGGCCAGCCCAATGGGGGACAACTATTTCTTTTTTTCCTTCTCATTTTATTTCTAGGTTTTCCTTTTTATTTCAGGTTATTAACAAAATTGACTACATACGGAGCAAAGTGGGTGAATCTACACTCTAAAATATGTCTACATACATCCGTATGTTGTTGTCCATTTAAAATGTCTAAAAATACTTATATTTAGGAACGGAGGGAGTATTTTTAAATAGTTTAAATTTTAAAATATGTCACGTTTTAAAAATATTCGATACCGTAAATTTCACCTAATTTTTAAAAGATGTTTCATAATTTCGAAAGTAAAGCAACTCAACAACAACAACAAAAAAGCAATGACATCCGTGTGCCAACGAGCATTGCCCATTCATTCCTCAAACAAAAAAGAGATAGTAACATTGAAGGCCGGTGGTTGCAGGATGCATCATGAGGCATGGTCCAATCCCACTGTTGGCACGTCCCTTCCTAGTCACAGCATCCACTTCGGCTCCGGTGGTGGCCGCGGCATACGATCCCGTCTCTCCCGCTGCTTGATTTCAACGCCTAGCTGACACTAACAACCGGCCGCTTCTCTGTCAGAGCCCATCCTACATCGGTTTCAGAGAGCCATCGCCCCTGACATTTTTTGTGCTGGTACGAAAATTGGTTGTTGATTATTATTATTTTCATATTATTATTTGAGCATTTGGGTTTTCTATGATTTGGTCGTTGATCATTTTATTGTTAATAATGCTTTGCTGGTGGGAGCAGAGGAAATGAATGAGGCACATACTTGCAACAGCATTCAGGAAGTATCACGAAAAGCTTACATGCATGTGTTTATAAGGATTTGAAAAGATACATGTATTTTATCAAAAGTAATAATGTTGAAACAAACAACAACCTGTCAAATCATCCTCAAATGCAGAAAGGCAAGGCCCATAATAAAGGGGGCAGCAAGTACAGGGAGGCAGAAAGCATGTAGCTGAAATAGCTAGCTAGCTAGCTAGCTGAAGCCCTCCCAAAGTGCAGCTACAGCAACAAGAATGAAAAGCTTACCACTAATAATCAGCAATACTGGCCAAGGAGATTGCCACACACAGTTCTTCTACAGCAAATAAGCAAAACAAAAACATAAGACTCAAGAGGAGGGAGGACAGGGAGCTGTGGAGTGAGCAGTAGTTGCTGCCCCAAGCTGGCTGTGCATGCATGTGCAGTTATTGTCACAATTGAATGAAGCAGCTGCCATCTCCCCATCAAGCAAGGAAAACATATCTTCTCTGCCGACCTGGAGGGGCTTCAGCGAGATGCATCCAGAGGTTGTCTTGTGCAAGTTTTTGTCTCTGAATTCTGATCATATCATATCATATCATAGCCTGCATGATGAGGAGGGCATCAGAAGCAAGGCAGGTTCTAGATGGCATGTAAAGCAGCATTTTTTATGCATGGAGATTACCTGACTGCCCTGGGGAAAATGAGAGGGGGACTTGATGTTTACTGACCACCTTGATTGCCCATGATGTCCTACCTTGAGCGCAGGGCAACCATGGTGTTGTGGTTGGGAGGAGACTGTCACTTGCCAGCAGAGCTACAAAGCAGGCCTAGGCTAGTAAAGCACTGAGTCCATGTCACTGCCACTTATGGTTTGCTTACTCAAAACATATATGGACATGCTCCTTGTGAAACTATGCACGGATGCCTGCTCCGTCCGTTCATGTTCAGTCAAATTAAGATAATGCAACCATGTGATTATTATTATTATTATTATTATTTTCCTGCCTGATATGAACATGTGCACCTGCTGCATTACATTTATGTTTTTTGGGAGGAAGCGTTGCGATCACTGTCGGAAAATCCATAATCAGATTTCGTATGCAGTAAACAGAGCTGTTGGCAACTGTTGAGGCCTGTGTGGAGTCCAAATCACAGCTATCTCAAACGCAATCGAGACAACAGTGTGTGGAAAATTTTGGATCCGCACAGCAGTGACCAGATCCACAGAGCAGAAGAGAAAAATGCTTTCGTTTCTTTGTGCATGAAAAGACATATATGAGACAACTCTCTCCAAAGCAGAATTCTCTCTGCCCAACCAGCAAAAGCAGCAGGCTGGAGCTCTCACTCGTCCTCAGATAAGCAGCAGGGACAGGTGAGATATAGGTTACAAAATAAACAGCAATCTACTCTGGACCGTATAATTCCCTTTCTCCCGCTTCGACGAAACTTGTAGGATCATTTCTCAAGAAGGATAGTGCATTTGGTGTGGAGAATGTGGCTCTGTAACTCTGAGCGTTCCCCCGAGATCCGCGGGCACCAGAGGAACAAGAGAGTGGAGAACATCTGTTATCAGCGGTCTGTAACTCGGCTCGGGCTGCACGCATAGAACGGCCACCGCCGCAACCTGCACAGGCACAGAGAACAACAGCCTAAATAGTTGGAAAGATAAATGTGTCTACATTAGAGAATAATGGCAGTTTGTTCATGATGGGTACTTGGTATAAGTGCTTTGGGTCCATTGTGTCCTTGATCACTGGGTCGATGATGTTGGGGAGCTTCGATCTGTCGGTTAGCTGAGGCATGGCCTGCGTGCGGTTTTGAACATGTCAAATGATATTACTGCACAGATAAATTCAAAGTATGCTATGTTGCAACAGAAATATGAATACTGAAAGAGAACTAGTTACTTCCTAAGCTTGCTGATCAAATTGTGAAATACAAATGAATTACTCGATGCCTTGGTAAGTTCAGAGTACGAAATGCAGATTACCCATGACACAATTGATTGGCACTGAGATGGTGACATCTTCTCAACAGGCTTCCTTCCCATCAGGAGCTCTAGAAGCACTACGCCAAATGCGTAGACGTCGCTCTTCTCAGTCAACTTCCCTGAAATTGACAGGGTCGCTTGATAGTTACATGATGAAAGGAGAATTTTGCTGTTCATAGTTTAATCCTTTTACACAAAAGATAGAAGTCGAATTTTAGAACAAAAGGAGATTGCACCGTCTAATAAGTACTCAGGAGCTACATATCCCAAGGTCCCAGAGATCTTCAGGTTCCCTTTGTCAAGATTCCCACTTGTCACAGCAAGGCCAAAATCTGCAATCTGTGCAATCGACAAGTAAAAAGAAATGCACATTTCAACTCTGTTACCTGCAGTCAGCATGTAAAAAAATAAGCTGACCTTAATGAAAAGTTGAAGCAGTGTACCTTAGCATTGAAGTCTGAATCCAAGAGTATATTAGACGATTTCAGATCCCTATGGATGACCGATGGATTGCAGTGCTCATGAAGATACTCTAATCCCCTGCCCGGTTTCAATTTACCATATTATACAAACAGACAGGCATCGGCACATGAATTGAAAAATCATCGCTCGGGCTCGGTGCGAAGTAAAGTGTAGGGATTATTAGATCATAAGAACCTGGCCGTGTCGAGCGCGATCTTCATCCGGACGTGCCAGCTCATGGCCGATCCATGTGAAGGCCCTGAAGACAATGCATCAAAAGCTCCCAATCAGGAAGATCTCAAGAAAGAGCTGCAGCCAATAAGTGGCAGGGCCAATCATATACACACCATGCAGTTGTGTCTCCAATGATCCCTTCTCCATGAGCTCATAAACAATGTAGTGATTGCCACCATGGACGCAGAAGCCCAGGAGGGACACTATGTTGGGGTGCCTGATCCTGCCAAGCAAATCCAGCTCATTCTGCCCAACAACCACAGCACAAGCATTTTTACACTTACAGCAAGAACCCACCACTAGCACTTGTGGAGGCAATGGACAGTGGTAACAAGGAGGCAACATTCACCTCGAATTCTTTCTCGCAGTCCGGCCCGCCGCCTTCGAGCCTCTTCACCGCGGCGGTGGCGCCGCCGTCGAACGCCGCCTTGTAGACGCAGCCGAAGCCGCCGACGCCGAGCACGTTGCTCTCGCTGAACTTGCCCGTCGCCGCCTCCAGCGACGGGTACTCGATCATGGCCACCAGCCCCTTCTTGCTCATCTTCACCGTGTTGAACTTGCTCAGGATCGGCACCAGCGTGATCCCTTTCGTGGTGGTGGTGTCTGAACAATGTAACAAGTTGGTGAATGGTCTGGCTTAATCATCCCAAGCAAGCACGATTATGAGCTGAAGAAGCAATGAGGGTGAGGCAGGACCTGGTCGCCGGGCGGCCTTGCCGTGGGGGATCCGGCGAGACCGGCGCCACATGGTCCAGGCGTAGAAGGTGGTGAGGAAGATCATGATGGTGGCGACCGAGGCGAGCACGGTGGCGATGACCAGCTCCCGGTGGTAGTGGTGGTGCCTCTCCACTGTGATCACTGCAACACACAGAGGAGTTGGAATTAGGTGGAATTGGACATTTCAAGAAGCACAATCTACCAACTCGAGAAGATGAACAGTAGTAGAGCTTTTTATCGGTGGGCTATATAAAAAATCTTTGGAACGGCCCTTCCCTGAACCTGAAGAGAGATTTGAATTTTGGATGCAGTGGATTCTAACGGAACAAGCGGTTTAATGGCATTAAACTCGATCCAGAAATTCCGCAGTGACGTTAAAGGGAGAGCAGGTTCTGCTCCCCCGAAAATTTGAACGGAATGTGAGATCCCGAAAGGCAGTTTTTGGCCACAGAGGTCGAATAAAAGAAGGCGAGGAAAAATTTCCCAGCTGGAGAAAACGAACCAACCCATCGTAATTCGTTGATATTTGCGAGAATGAAATTACAAAGATCCGAGATATGCATAGCAGTTCCAATCCAAATTAAATTCCCAGAGGAAAAAACTCTGAACTTGCTAGATGTTCCGAAGTTCGGATAGAAAAAAGCAAGAACACACACACAGGAAATTCAGAGGAAGGAACGAGAAATGCAGGCCCTGAATCCTGATCCCTGGGCGGCAGCCACACACGTACCGACGGGGGGAGACGCCAGAACGACCGGAGAAGAAGAAGAAGATGCGGTCCCATTGGCGGCCCCCACCGACGCCGGCGCCGGGGAAGAAACGGCGGCCCTCCCGCTGGCGAACGAGCACGAGGACAGCAGGAGCAAGAAGAGAACAGAGGAGCGCAGCGGCAGCAATGGGGGCGGGGCCGCCGGCATCTCCATACACCCACCTCTCTCCTGACCTCTCGATCTTTATCTTTTGCTCTCCCCCTCTCTCTCTCGGGAAATCCTACCGGGAGTGGGGGGAGAGCACAAGAAAGCTGGCGGCGTTGTGGCGAGGCGGCATGGGAGTGAGGGAACCCGAAGCCGGAAGAAAAGAGAGGAAAAAGCGAACGGAGGAGTCAAAAGCTATAAACTACCAGCACTCGTCCTCGCCGGGGGGGCGCACGGGGCGCAGGAGAAAGAGGCCCGCGCGGGGGCCATGCGGCAGAGGCAGAGGGATCACGGGCGGGCGGCAGTTTACCCAAGGGATAGAGGTGATCATGTGAGGCTGTAGTACACGTGAGGATTTTATCAATGGCGTTGAGGAGTACTACTTGAGATGACGGAGGAATTCCTTGTTGCGTTGCCGAGCGTCCTCCCTTGGCCGCTTCTTGGCTTGGGTGCAGTTCGGTCGAGTTGCTCCAACTGCAAACCCTGCCGTCGTTTGGACCCTTCTTCTTTGTTGCCGTTGGAGGCGTGCGTTTGTTTGGACGCGTCAGGCGGCCGGCATCGAGGATGAAACAAACGAGATCCGTTTTTCTATTAACTCAAGATGAAGCATCAAGGAAAACATAAGGACATGTACAATGGTTCTATCTTAGCAATGCCACATAGGATAAATGATGAGGTGGAGGAGAGAGAAATCGTAAGAAAAAATTTGTGTGTGTTTTACAGCGTACATGATTTTTGCTTATGTGTGTTTTACAATATTCAGCCCCAGTTTTTTTCTTGATCTGTGTTGCTATTTTCCTGCACCATGATTTTTACTATTCGATTCGCTCTTGTCATTCAGCCTGACACTTTGAGTCTGAACCATAATTTTCTCATTATTCCAAGTATGCATTTGTAATTGTAGGATAATCATACAAGTCCTTCTAGCATTTGAATTTGAAAAGGTAGCTCAGAGACTCACAGTACGATCTGATCACATACTATGCATTTATGTTATAGAATTTCCAAATAATATATTCTTCATAGTGCTAACAGTGTTACTAACGTTCTGTCAAAGTGTCAAGCATATCTGATGCTGCTATTAACTCATTTCAGTCTATTAATGTCATATTAGCTTCCTCTTTGACATAACAATTTGCTACTGAAAATACATGAGGGTTTCAGCCTTTTCATCTCTTAAGAGTGGAAACTAATTGAATGGGATAATGATACTATTTGGATACCACAACTTAATTTTACTGCCTTTGCAGACAGTTGCAGAACTCTTTTTCTTTCATGTTTGTACAGAGAAACATTCATTCACACATTTATGCTCCAAGTCACGGTGTTGGCCAATCACCTGAATGAGAGGGACACCCGTGTCCGACAGATCAAGATATATGGGCCACAACAGTAAGTTGGATTTTCTAGGCTCCGTAAAAATATATTTAAAGAATAATGTGGCAACCCCCACCAAAAAACATAGTATTAATCTCTGTGAGCCGCTGAGCACCAATTCAGGTTTCTAGCTACTAGCAAAAGGAAAATCCAATTGTTGGTAACTGATTTTCGTATGACTAGATTTATTTCACATCATGCTTTTTAAGACAACATATGACTTGTTGTTAGTTCCACTTGATGTGGATTCTGCTGTATATTATTTTGTTGATTTTATTTAATAATTACCTACTAAATAGGATTGAATGAGTATATTTCTTCCTATAGTTACACGTGTGTTGCGCGTGCATGATTACTATGTGATGAAAATCATCGATTTTTTTGCCCATGCCTTTCTATGCACGTCTGCTACCTATAGTCATTCTGTCATTGTATTGTTTTCTTCTACTATTTTTGTTGTATATTACTACATGAGTTGGTATGTGGTATTTGATACTACGGTCAGTTGGTGTGAAACCCCCCAATTTTTTGATTAATCTACGCAGTCAAAATAAGTTCAGTCTGTAGTCTGTACACTTGTTAAGCCATTTTAACTGAACTTGTACAAGCATTAAATCTAGGATATTTCAAGTCTCTTGACAAAAAATATATTACATAGCAATAGTTTCATCCTATTGTTGTACAAATCCAAGTATGAGGTGTATTTGTGGTACTTTGAAATGTAAAAATTGCAGCAATAACATTCTTCTGTTTTGCTGTTGCAACGAGAGAATAAGAACGAGATGCGGAGCCACATGGAAAGCTTGGACGAATTGATAAGATGCCAAATCTTGGACACCAAATTATGTGTATGTAGTTGTTTTGCATCGAAAATATGTTCATATTGTTGGGAATACTGTAGTTGATTTCACCAGCTGCGTGTTAGTTATTTGGTTATTTGGTCTGAAGCTATGGTTCAAGATTAGTAATTATTTGGTCTAAGCATGCAATTCCTTTTCATGTCTTGTTGTATAGTTCTCTCGACAGGAAGAGTTCCTGGAGGTTAATTATTAGAAGTGATGATATATATATGGCAGCTAATGGATGCTATTATCAAGTCTTAGTTTCTGAATTTTGATTTGGCAGACTCACTCTTTGTTTGATACAATATATCTGAAGATCCCTTTTTGCACACTTTTCAAATAAGCTCTTTACTCTTGTGTGTATGGTCAAACAATGCACTTCAAAAAATTATGTTAGTGTCTCGGGGATAGTTAACAAAATGGTGTACTTATTATCCTAGATAATCCCATTCATTACGTATGTCACATTTCCATTTTTTTTCTTTTGGGAATAGCACATATCATATATTTTTTCTATAGTTTTTTGAATTTAAAAAGGTGTAGATGAACAAAACCAATAGAAAAGGGAACTAAATAAATAATTGTGAAATTCAAAAAATGGATTGAATTGTGGAGACGTGCGTTGCACGTGCATGCTTACTAGTATTTAAGAAAAGACAAGAGATGATCTCTTAGCACAATATGTTTCACCACATTTTTAGGAATAACTAGTTATTGATGATAAAGCTAAGAGAGGACCCATTGTAGACATGTTTTTCTTGTCATATCTAAATTACATGCAAGACTTAAGATAAGACTATCGTATCAACCATTGTACATGCTCTAATGAGCATACGCCCGGCTTTTGCATAGCTAAGATACACATAACCAACACCAACGCACACGCATAAAGCATCACACTGGCAAGTAGCAATGTCATACAAGACCCAAGCTATACCTCAGTGGAGTAAGAAAGAAAAACTCTAAAGTGATCAAAACAGTGATCAACAAGTTACAACCACTAGTGCAGAACCGGGCAATAGCACCGGTTCGTAAGGCCCTTTAGTGCCGGTTCCATAACCGGCACTAAAGTGTGGTCACTAAAGGCCCCCCCTTTAGTACCAGTTCAGCACGAACCGGTGCTAAAGGGCAACCACGTGGCACGAGCCAGCTCCGGGGGTCGGGAGCCCTTTAGTACCGGTTGGTAACACCAACCGGTACTAAAATGTTTGGGGGGGTTTTGGTTTTATGATTTCTTTTTCATTTAATTTGTGTTTTCCATTTTAATTCTTTTTCGTTTGCTGGTATTTTACGATACTACACATTGTACACGTTATGCATATATATATATAAATAGAATTTCTAGTAGAACCAATCATATATATATCATCAATGTCTCACAAACCACCATATTAATTCACACATACACACATGTATAGCTATATACAATTTCTCCTACATATGCATGTTGCCTTCGGAGCCAGTGGCATTAGCCTAATTGGTGCCTTTGGAGCACGATGACAATTGGAAGTGGTTCATGACCTGGTCGATGGGGGTGGTAGCGGATAATAGTATTCTCCCTTCGGATTTATGACCTGGTCGAGCAAAAATCCCGCTATTTCCTCTTGAAGTGCTTCTACGCGCTCCGTTTCTAGGAGCTTGTCCCGCACCTCTTTGAACTGTTAAGAAGGAGATCAATATGCATGTGTATTAGTTGTGTGACTAGATATCGATAATGGTGTAAAAATTGTGAATAATGTTCTGACAAGCGTACCCATTCCTGTCTTTGAGATCTGCTCCTTTCGGATGTCATCATGCGAATGTTCTCGCAAACGCAGAATGCACACAGATCAGTCCCCTGCGCCTGCTTCAGGGCCTTTATTACGAGAATGGAATTTAATTTGATCAGATAATAATTAATCAAGCATGATAATTAAAGAGATGGCAGCTAGCTAGCTAGCTAGTACTACTTAATTACTTACCTTGGGTCGAAACCATTTCAGCTGTCGTTTCCATTCGCCTTCCATGACGCTGATGAACCTTGCCCAAGCCCTGCACGCCGACAAAGAAAATGAATAAAAGGGTTATTAAATAGTTCATATCATGAAATGACGAACTAAATAGGCCGAGATATATAGTTAATAATGATTGAAATTACCTGTTGACTATCCCAAACAAGATGTTATAGTCATTATTTGCTTTGAGTAGTGAGTCAAGTATTTGAACTGTTCCGGCGTCAACTTTAATGACACACAAGATCCAGTGAAATCTGCATGCACACACGTTTGCATGTCTTAATTAAGCGGGCATATGTAAGCAAAAACATGTAGCTAGCTAGTAGACAAAAACAGAGAATTTGTAGTACAAGAAAGTGTGACTCACTGGAAGTTGTAAGGAAGTAGTATATCTTCATTGTATTTGAGGCGCTTCAAGAACTCTAGCATGTTGTTCTCTACCTGCTTTTCATAATGCTTGTTTATTTTCCATGTGTATTCATTAACGGTGTTTGGGTCAATGAACCCAATGCCATAGCGTCCACCTTTTCTCATTTCATACATCTTCATCCTGCATAATACCACAGAAAAGAATATAGTGAGGATAATTACAGGTAATGATTGATCAAAAGGATCACTACAGCTAGCTTGAGACTTAAATTACAGAAGAAATCACTTACAGACAATAGCAACTAACGATAGATTTGTCGAGTGCGTATTGATTGTATAACTGAAACAGTTCAGAATACTCAACGGTCACAACATTCTCATGGTAGTAATGATCCTTCTTGACTTGCACCATGAGGGACTCTCGATC